TCTAGGTTCCGGCGTCGGCACTATTGGCTTATTGTTCGCCACCCACGTGATCTATATACAAATATCATTTACCTGAATCTATGAAAACATACACAAAAGGCAAAAAATTGTGTATTTTTTTCATCAAATTCATGACAAACATTTTATCCACTGAAAAAAACTCAGCCGATGTGTTATTAAAACTTTTCTAGGTTTATGTTTTATTCATTTACAATGAGGCGAAAGGATCAAGCTGTTTTTTTCTCTAGTACAAAAGTCTTGAAAGTATTAGGTTTAATAATATGAACCTAAGTCTAGATAAACAAAGTATTACAATCAAATAGCATACAGTTATTATTAATTTTTAATAATAATTTTCCAGGGACCACTGATCTAATGGAATCACAGATTGTCATTCATCACACTTTAACCAAAGACTGCTTATTTGATGCAGAAAGACTCATTCAACGCAGCACGCAATTCGCACAACCACAATAGTATCGAACAAAGATAAGTCACAATTTTTTTAATTACCTGTGAATATAGCATTGGCGTCATGATTATTTGGCCACAAGCCCCCTCAACATTTCTTTTAGTTAACGTTTTTTAATTATTAAATATAGAATAACCTACATTACATTTTTTAAAACATAATAAGTGTATAATAGTTTTTTAATTATTAAATATTGAATAATCTACACTACATTTTTTAAAACATATCAAATGTATAACATTCAACACCTAAACCAGGTTAAGCGGATTCTCTTTCCAAGTGAGTTCGGTAACCTGAGTGAATTCGGGTTCGGATTACAAAATCGCTCTGTTTCAGTAGAATATTGAGGTATGTGCTCACCGATAGTGTGCGGTCGTTGTAATGCCTCCCGTTGGCGGCGGCCAGTTCCGCGTGCGCGCGCAACTTGTACTGCAGCACCAGCTCGGGCACCGCCAGGTTCACCTCCTTGTTGGTCACCTCGCCGAATTGCTGTCCACACACACACACCAATCACACTCTACTCGTATATATATCATTTAGATCATCATCAGCCCTTTTACGTCCCCACTGCAGGGGCTCAGGCCTTCCATATGGATGGTTAAGGAGGATGGGCCATGACCCTCCACGCTGGCCCAATGCGGATTGGAGGGTATTAACGACTGCAAATGCAGCCGGGACCAACAGCTTAACGTGCCTTCCGAAACACGGAGTAGCTCGAGATAATAATTTTTTTTTGGTCACCCATCCCGTGACCGACCCTTGCGAAAGTTGCTTAACAACAACGATCGCGGGCCGCGGCGCTTATCCCCTACGCCACGGAGCTACTTATCATTTAGATAGTTCACGATAAACGACTCGCGGAAAACCGGGCAACGCATTACTGCAACTTTCTGTTACCACACGTAATTTATTTATTCATTCTCATAAAACACACCAAAGGCGCTAATATAATAACAATAATTTACCGTTAACGACATATGTTAATTAATATCAGATGATGTTTGTGCTAATAAATTAGCTTGTATACCATTTGCAAATTTGTCAAAATGTCATGAACTTTATGAACTATGTGTAACTAAACAACAATGGTTCTAAGTTTCTTATTGGTTATAGGTCTGAAAAATTTCCATTTTGAAAAATTCCAAAAATTCTATTTGTCTCATAAGACACACTAACAGTGCAAATATAATAAAAATAATAATTACTGTTAATGACAGATGATATTTGTACCAAAAATCTGTTTCTTATTGATTATATATCTTATAAAAATATTCCATATGATTATATCGATGCTGGAACGCTCTCTGAAGGACGTAACTATAGAACGCTTCTATATTGGCCTGTCAGTACCGACGGTGAGCGTGATACTAATAATAATATTTATTAAAATCTTCTTTGAACATTTACAATATACTTAAAGCTAGAAAATAATAAAATCATGTGTCTGAACTAAGTGAATCTGTATGACCTGACCTGTATGTCAGCAAAAAAAAAAGTTAAAAAACCAAAAATTTTAACTTACTAGTCACTATTATTTTACAAGCGAAATAAAAGTCACTTTTCTACTAAAACACTACTAAACTAGAATTTAAAATATTTATTTAAGCGCATGAACGATGTTTTATTATCCAATATTGCTCGTTGAACATTTTCTATAATTGAAATCTGGTCTAAAATCAATATTGCGTAAATCGTCTTCAAGGCTATTTATATTTAATACAAGAATTAAATTATAATATGACTGGCGTCATTCAATTTGATTGAAGGGCTAGCCGTCCAGTCGGTTGGCTCGTTATACCATTTGGCTGCGACATGTATATGTTGTACTGTAAGTATGTGCTACTGACGGTGAAGTGCTGCAGCAGCGCGTCGAGCTCGTCCGCCTCGAAGCCGGATATGAGGAGGGCGCGCGGCCGGTGGTCCACCGACTGGTTCACGCTGAACACCTTCGGGCCCGCGCCCGCCCCCGCCCCCGCGCCCGCGCCGCCCCGCGTGAACCGGTTTATGGTGTTGAAGCGACCGCCTCGGAAGATACTGCTGGCACACAATAGGGTATTTGCAAACCTAAAATTTTACACACAGCTTATATTATTATTAAGTACAGGGCAAATGCTTAATTTAGGTTTTATACATATTGCTTCAAGTTATAGATCTCTGACCCCGAAACTAGAGAATCTGTATAATCAAGGCCAGCAATTCCTCAGTAAAATGTTTATAAAGGAATGTGAATTGAGGACGTTTCGTACTGAAACATTTAAGATAAGATAAATTTAAGGTAAAGGTCTTAAAAACTTTAGAAGTGTGTGTTTGTGTGTGTGAGTAAGTGTGTTTATGTGTGTATGTGAGTGTGTGTGGTGTGGTATGTATTGTGTGTGTGTGGATAAGCCTGTTTAGGTTTTTTGTGTGCTATAGTTGAGTGAGTACCTATGTGCGTGAATTAAGAATTTAATATTTAAATGGATTAATGGTAAGCAATGTTATGTTTATTTATTTAAGTTAAGTAAAACGGTACATTAATTAGAGCTTAAAGACATCATTAAACCTGAATGGACATTTGTGCAACTGACCGTAAGTTTAGGCGGCAACAAAACGCACAAATCAATGAGACACATTTCAACTGCAAAAGCGCTTCAGTCCAAAAATGTTGTTTTTTACACTGAGCACACCAAATTGTAGCGATAAAAAAATGCAAAAATATATTATAATCGGCACTATGCAAATCCACCTCAATCTTACATAAATTTCACTTAGAAAGTAGCGTTTAGATGCAAAACCGCTTCGATCCAAAATTTGTTAGGAGCAAATCCGCCTCGATCACAATCAACCAACCAGAAGCAGCAATTTCAAAATTTCTAAGATGGCGAATTAGTTACTTTTCATAGTAAGTTGACTGAGCATAGCGCGTGTTTAATTTGTGTTTTTTATTAAATAACTTATTGTAATGGAAGAAAACATTACATCAGCACGTGCAGGACGAGCACGGAAACGTCTGGTAAATAAAAGTTAGTGGCGAAGAGTGAAGGAAAAAGCAGAAAGGTAACAAACAATTTACTAATATTTTGGCCGTTATGAAAAGGTAAAGTAGGGTTTGCATAGAATGCTTCTCTTAAATTTTATTTCAATTAAGCACGTAACGTACTAACATTTTATTCGCGCTATACTGAACAGTTTTTTTCTGCTTTTGGTAATGGGTTTTATTTTCATTTGCTTAAGGTACTCTGCTAAAGATCTCCCATAACTACCTGCATGTCAGCACAACAAAAAAAAATATTTACGACTGCAAAAATATAAGTTCCACTTCCAAAAAATAATGTGGCATTAAAAGCAGAGAAAAAAAAATGATGTGAGGAAATTGTTAGAGAAACACTATGAACCGCAGTGGGAAAATCCTAATGAACTCCAATATTACAATAATATTTTGAATAATAATAACAGTCATTCAATTCAAGAGGATGAGCCTATCTGCGATCCACCCACAGCGGATTCAAATATTATGATTTAATTCTTAGTTTCTTTTTACTTTTTTTACATGCGCAAGAATAATATTTTATCTTTACTTTTCATTAATAATTATAATACAATATGATGTCCTGTTTTTAACAAAATTAATTAAATTCATAATCTTGTAAAACATTGTTTTATTTTGCAATCGGTACCGCCATTTATTGACATTTGACGAATTAAATAGTGACATGCAAATTCGCTTCGATCCAAAGCAATGAAAAGCAAACATGCTTTAGTCCAACGCTTAAATGCAAAAACACCTCAGTCCTACATTATTTCTTAAATTATAAAGAATTTATGTATATTTTATTTGTTTTGATTATTGTTATTTGATTAATGTATTCTATTGAATGTACCAACATTGGATTCTGATAAAAAATACAATTTATTACGACACAGTGGAAATTTGCGGTTTTTCAGTCTAGGTATTTTTGTGACTGAAGCGCCTTTGTAAATCGCATTAAAAATACGATCGAATTGTCACTCCTTAGAGACTTTTCTCACCTAGAATGCGGCCTCCTCATGCTGGGATGAGGCGGGAACTGTATCGCCATTGATCTTCGCAGTTCCGCTATCCGCTTCATTAGTTCTGTTACATCTTGCCCTTCCTGTCAACAGGAACAATAAATATTTATATGTAAAAAATAAATATTAATTACATTTCAAATCAAGAAATGTATTAACATGACAAACGGGTATCGGTCAGGTCCATTCTTGAACAGTTTCATCGTGTGTGGGTGATTCAATAAGTGATAACACTTAGAAAATTTTAAGCTTAAAAACATCCTGGTAATTTTTAAATCAATCAGAGAAATTCGATAGTGTTTTATAACCACCGATTAATTGATACAGTTTGTACAAGTTCACATACGGTCAGCAAAAAATATAATCTATCGGTTAAAAAATATATATAATCTATTAGGTTAATATTCTTTTGAACGTGATAAATCAAGAACAACAGTGACCATTAATTAAAATTTCTTACAATACAGATAACCGACAAGGTGTACAATTAGAAAAGAGTAATGCCTGATTGAATCTCAATAATGTATGAAGACGCAGCCTTACATTAAAGAGTAAATACCTGTTGCTTAGTGAACATGTCCAATTCGGCATCTAATATCTCCTTCTCAGCCTCTTGTCTCGTTCTTGGTTTCTTTGCGTTCACCTGCCGACAAAACAATAATAATAAATGCTTACTCCATTATGAAATCTAAATAAAATAGGGTTTAAAACTTTGAATGAAGTAAAGACGAAAGGGAGAATTGTAAATATGGCAAAAAAAAACCGCAACCTTTAGCATTGCATTAATTAGCTAAACCTGAATAAGTATTAATTGGACTATTAGTCACATTTGTTTTTGAAAAAGAAAAATATTTAAGTTTTTCTTTATTATATCGTAAGTGTTGATTAACTTTAAATTTTAAATATCACATTATTTAATAGAAATTAGAGATTTTATTTAATGACGTTTTACCCGTAAGTAATTTAATTAAAACAATTTTAATACATACCCATAACAATGTGAAGTTCATGTGCTAAAGGACGACTCTAGCTTACATTAGTAAGCTAGAGTCGTCCTTTATACACAAACCATTAGGCATATTCGCGAATATTCATTATTTTTCTGTCGCGTTATCTCTTTCTATTGCATAGAAACATCGGAAACGCTCATACGTCGTCGTAGAGTTGATCTCCCTCTATTACATACTAAGTTTCAATATGATGAAAGAGGACGGAGCGGTAGAAAAATAGTGAAGGAACGCTACCGATGGAGAAGACTAGTATCGTAGTCGTTTGTGGTCGTTGCTATTATAAAAAGCAAGCTGAACGCAACATACATATTAATCCGTCAAGGTTATTTTCACACCAACAAACATTTCCACCAATATATACTATGTACAATCGCCCGAGGGGGTAATTCCTAGTTAAGTAAGACTATAAATATGAATAAATATTAGTTACAACTTATATGTATAGTCCATATGTACATAATATAGCTTGTTTTGTTAACTATGCTTATATGGATGTATTCTTAAATAACTTTGATTATATAAAAAAGGTGGTTAAATAGCTTAACCACCTTTTTATATAATTTATTTGGTAGTAATAATTGGAATTTAATATTTGTTTGATTTTATAAATAGAAACAGTATAGGTTTAACCAATAATACGAATACATCATTGCTTCATATTCGGACGTTAGAAGGAAGGAAATTTAATTAATTTCCAAAAGAAACAATTGACTATATATGCTAGTGCTGAAATCAACGCCAGGCTTTGCGCAATACTTCCTGTTCCGTTGAATGAAACTGTAACTAAGCGACGGAGATAGATATTTAAAGCACTCGCAGGAACTCTATTTAGATTTATATTCGGAATAACTGAAATGCCCTTAACAATTTATAACGATCTTACACTTGGCGTATTAATTATATTTGATTTACTACGCCAGTTTCAGGTGCCCACCCACCGTGTTATCTGGGCTATTAAACTGATATTTCAATTGAACTTTTCTGTAGGTAATAAGATAGGGACGAAAAGTAGCCCATGCTGACTATCTGGTCGGTTGTTCTCAGTACACACTACAATGTCTCCTGCTGCAAATTTACGGACCGATGGCATAGCTATCAACTTTGACAAGTGCTTATTACACTACACCGAATAATAAAAATTGAGTCGACCGCTAGCGATATTATTTTGTATTTGTTTAGCTTTCTATCTTAATTTGTTATTTTAATAAATCTTCATAAATGAGTTATCAAATACAGAACTTATTTTAAATCAAATTTATAATATCTGATAAGCGCAAGTAACTAACTATTGAACTTTAATATACTAGTAAATAATTTATAAATACTGTACCACACATTTGAAATATATTTATATAATCACTATTTAATCTATTTACAGCGCTAAATGCTTTATTAATCTACTTACATTTTATACACAATTATATGATTTACATGTGTAGATCGAATTAGTTCAACATCACCTGTACCAAAATGAATTATGTTTATTGTGAAATCATGAGACGGCGAATATTTTACATGGCGATAGAATGAGAGACGACCAATGATATGCACGCATGCGTAAAGTGAATGAATGATTCTGTAGACGGTTCCATTATATCCTTAAAAATACTGATCAACTAGTAGTTAATTAAAATAATATAGCTCCTTTTAAATTAAACGTTCACGCAGCAAAGAGGACTTAACGTTTTATTCTATCGACTGATTCGCTGATTGGACGACTCCTCTACTCACAGAGTTAATCGAGACGATACTAGTATTTTTCAAGTCGTATATTATTATTATTATTATTTTTTTATTATTATTATTAAAATTAATTACAATACATCATTATTAAATTACATTACATTATATCAAATTACATCCCATTTATGTACTCAATTTACAATTGTGTAGCATCTGTGCTTGAATTAGATTTATAAAAATAAATCTGAATCTCAAGCCCCAGTGCTCCTCCCTTATACAGGATTGATATTTCAGTACAATTCGTTACAATACTTTTGTCGGGATGTTCCCAACACTAGTTATTACATAAGGTATAAATAGCTGAGCAATGTATCCGCGCGCTCTCTCTTTCACTGTATACTTCACAAGACGCACGCGTCTCAGTTTGTTGTTGACAATAATAAACCTCTTCATTATAATATACCAGCATTTTAATTACAAGTCCATTAACGGCTCCACAACTTTCAATAAAAATTAATCATAGTTATTTTAATTTATCATTATAATTCGAGAATATAATTCTATTACAGAAAATAAATTCTAAACACAGCAATATTCATTTCACCGTTAGTGAGCGTGTTTCCATAATAGGGCTAGTTGACAATTTTTTTATTCAATAAATAAATAGTCCATTAATATCTGAGAAATAATGTAGAAATAACAGCATGTCTGCGATTAATAGTTTCGGATATACGGTGGTGTGTTTGTAGTCGATCGAAAACGCTCCATACCAATTAAAGCTAACTAACGTCATACAGCGCTACGGTGGCGAAAAACGTATGGGCGTTTGGGCAATAAGTTTTTTTTTTATTGCGTTTATGTTTATAGCTGTTCTAATTAAAGTTGTTCCGTTTTATGTAACTAATTTAATGTCATATGTATTTTAGAAATTTTTAGTAATATATTTTCTCAACTTTTTTTAAGTTTTCTAAGCGTAATATTTTCAAATTTGTGTTATAAAGTTTATTTTGTTAAATATTAATAAGTTTAAATGGTTTTAATTTTCCGAACATATAACAGAAACCTGTATTGTCACTTGTAGGACACAAGTCTATTGGTGCGAATTCTGTTATACTGCTTTCTAAATTGAATTAAAATTTTCTAATTTTCATTTGCGTTAAAACCAAAATAACGATAAATAATTTTTTATTAAAAGATATTTAGTCAAATAACTAACTACCAAAAACAAAACAACCAGCCATTAGAAGGAGATAAAATGACTAAAATCAAACCATGCAAAAAATGCAAATGTCAGAAAGGAAGTATAGTAACAAGAAATAATAGTTATGCATTAAAACAAGATAGCGTATGATATTATCGCCTGCATATAGATATCCCCACTGCTGGATCACAAGCCTTCAAGAATGGAATAAGAAAATTAAGACATGAACCACCTACGCATCTACAATCTTTTTTTAACCGCGGCAAATTTCGTAATGCGCCCTTCCCCCTCTTACGCTCTGTGAAGCCTAATTTTATACTATTATATTTTTACAGTGTATGACATTTTAAGGGATTTTGAAGCATGTATATCAAGTGGGGCAAATGCCCCACTTGCCCCGGGCACGCAAATATTTTAAACTAACTAATCTTATTGTTAAGATGAAAATTAAAGATTATATTTTTATATTGAATAAAGTTTATAAGGGTTTTTTTGCGAGTGGGGACACTTTCAACTAGTTGCACAAATGTCCATTAAAATCATAAATACTTTTAAAGCGATATTACACATACAAATTTTACATTCATTACAACTTAAACCTAAATGGACGTCTGTGCAATTGACCGGATTTTTGTTACTGCCTTTTAATATTCATGGTTTACTAACCTGTGACATCACAAGCTAGTATACTCCTATTCTTGTCTGATCGCGATTAAAGTTTTTGTATATTAATAAAATGAATAATTTTGTATTGTGGATATTTGTCTATTTGAACTTGAGAATATTCTCGATAATGTAACGTAAAATGAAAAATAAAAACAAACGAAACGCAACAAAGCAGGCATAATAATAAAACGAACAATAAGATTTACTTGATGTAACATAACAGACTTATTTAGTCTCATTGAGTGGATATTCGACAATGAACATAAACAGAGCAAACTCTGCTAATTTTAAAGTAAGTATTATCTTATATAATATCAAACAGCTACTAAAATAAATCGTAAGATATGAAAAACTATGCATTTTATTTATAATAGACATCGTGTTTCGTAGTAAAATTAACTACTCGAGACCTATAAAATCGGTATCTAAGTAGAAATAATAAATTATATTTTTCAAAATGTCCAGGGCCGATGTCCGAATCGAGTACTAGTTTTTTTTTGGAGTAATAGTTTATTTTGTCACTAAAATCGATGACATACATAGTTCCTAAAACAAAATCTTCGTATGTGTTATAATTTCAGAATTCTCCGTATCTTTAACATTACACCCGGTACAGTTTAATGTCTGTGATAGAATAATGAATAATGGATCCAGTTGAATCATGTAAACGTTTCTCATACAACAAACGTAGTGGTCGTGATTATTGAGGTCTAGTGAGTCTAAGAGGTCATTACAAAAAGTGAAAGAGCTTTGGAAACTTTATATTTCAGTATATGTTGAAGTCAGAGGAATGGTTAGGGGCTAGTACGTAATACGTGGTGAAGGGCGGGACAATATAAAGTACGAACAATTGTAACACATTTTAAAGATTCTTTTTTAATAGCTTTAAAGTAGCGGAAATCTTATTCTTAATATAAAAATGGGAGACTAAACTGCTAAGATTCGCGCATTTTACTTGGAAATGGGCACCGAAAAGATTTTCGTAATGGTTAGTTGATATATTACTAAATTATTAGTTGTTAAAAAATACTCAGAATTTCATTTACTGGAACAAACACATAAAGTTGACCTAGCGCCTGTCTTTCGCACTGGGTACTGAATATTGTATACCCTTAGTACTTCGAGATACTGAAAAATCAAGTTTTCGAAAGCTCTTGCACGTTTTGGTCACGAGCTCTCAGTTTATATGTGGATACATGTAAAACGGGCAACATTCGTTCACTTCACATAGCATGCGCGCGCTATATACCGTATGCGGTACCTGCAGTTGAAGACGAGACATCGATCGCGCTACCACCTCGTCCTGAAGGAGAAGTACCCATTTAACCAACGGTACACATTATTTATATGGCTTAGATAATCCATTTATGTGAATTTCGACTCAAACATCACGACTGAGCCAGTCGTCTGAATACTTTGAAGAATACGTGTTATTAACTGTACCTCTAAATTATAAAATAGTCTGAGACTAATTTAAAATTTGTGTAAAATGAATAAACTTTTTAATATAATTTAGCAAAGATAAGTTAAAATTTTTACCATTACTGTTTTAAATCTTATTATTACACCAGAATAAACAACTTTTTTACATAAAAGTTAGCAGAATATTTTAAGCCTAATGTTCTATTCTTTAACGTCGAATTTCAACCGCATCAGACCGAAACTCATTAAAGTAATTCAAAATCACTTATCAAAATTACAGAAATATATTCTAAAAATAAATTGTAAAAAAAATTGAAGCTCTGGATTCTTTTGAATTACTTGTGTGTATAGCAATCTGTTTCAAATATTTTATCTATATTCGAAAGGAATATATTGTTAACAGCTTATTTTTGTATAACCTCATTTTATTATTTTACCGTAACTTTATTGTTATAATGGATGAATGGATAGCTCGGTGGCGTAGTGGATAAGCGCCGAGGCCCGCGATCGTTGTCGTTAAGCAGCTTTCGCAGGGATCGGTCACGGGATGGGTTACCAAAAAAATTTTTATCTCGAGCTACTCCGTGCTTTGGAAGGCACTTAAGCCGTTGGTCCCGGCTGCATTTGCAGTCGCTAATACCCTCCAATCCGCATTGGGCCAGCGTGGAGGGTCATGGCCCATCCTCCTTAACCATCCATAAGGAAGGCCAGAGCCACTGCAGTGGGGACGTAAAAGGGCTGATGATGATGATTGTTATAATGTCGAATTTATTTTCATCAGCGCATTACTAACCTGCATTTGTCTGAGTGTGCCGTTGTACGCGAACAATTCTTTCCTAAGCTTCTCTATGCCCTCTTGTGCCGAGTTTATGGCATCCATCAATGCGACCTTCTGGGGACCCGTCACGTTGCCTATTAAGAAACAAGTGGAAATTAAGTTCAGCACAGTAACAAATTTTTACCCCGCGTAGAAACATGTCTTCATATCTTCTCTTTCACTAATAATTCGTTTTCTTGTAGTTTTAAAGAAATTATGTATTGTGACTCGTCATTGCTAGTTTTACAGGTTAATTCATAAATACATAATTTTGTTATAAACATTAAAAGCAAATTTCTCGCATGCGATATCAATGGTTTTTTTGGGCATTTTCACAAAATAAATTAATATTTTCAAAGATATTCCCAACAATTTACACTTTAACTTAACAGTTGTCAACAGATAGACTATTTATATTACCATATGAAAATCGAGATTTCTTTCCTTTTGTTTTGTTTTTGGTCATCAGATTTTTTTCCTCTCATACGGCTGTCAGTCAATGAAAAATTCCGTCACAAATCAGATTGCTGCTTTTTATGCCACATCACGTTTAATTTGCATATATATTGTATTTTTAAAAATTATGGGGATTTTTTAACCCAATAATTAATTTAAAATAAGTTATGAAACATTGTCAACGCCCTAATAATAATAATGTGATCAAGGTGCGAGTGTGGACTGACCTGACTCTAGTTTGTCGATGAGCAGCATCTGCTGCTGCAGCTGAGTCTCGAGCAGCGCCTGCGCCCGTTTCATCATGTCCATCACCATCACCTGCTTGCTCTTCTCCAGCGGCTTCGGGACTGGCTCCTTCTTCGCCTCCTGCCCGTTGTTCACCTCCTTAGAGGCTTCCTTAGCCTGATGTACAACAAAATTGATATTTATTACTTTCAGAAGTCTTCGGTAACAAAGGAAAGTCGTACTGAGGTGAAATAAAAAGTATATAATATTTTACTTTTTTTCCGGTTGTAAAAAAAAAATTGCTGCAAAATTCAAATTAAAACTTTAAATTTTCATTGAATTATAAACCAAAATCGAGGTGAAATTAACTTTAATTCAAACAAACAATTACAAATACTTTTATATACAAATAAACCAGGCCTGTGGTAAATCTCTGTTTGGGCAGAGTTAATGTACCAAAACTTATGATGACCGAACATGTGATATACCATCATCCTCCTGCCCATTATCCCACGTTACGTGGGGTCGGCACAACATGTTTTCTTCTTCCATTCTTCTCTGTCAGACGTCAGCCTCACATCCACACCTTTCTTATTCATATCCTCTTTCACACAGTCGATCCATCTTTTCTTCGGTCTGCCTCTACTCACATATCCATCCACATGCATACCCATCACTCTTTTCGTAACATGACTTTCGTCCCTTCTCATAACATGCCCATACCACGCTAGTCGATTACTCCTCATTTTCTCCGTCACAGGTGCAACTTTCAGGCTTCCTCTTACGTACTCATTCTTAATCTTGTCCATTCGCGTCACTCCACACATCCATCTCAACATTCGCATCTCTGCCACATGTACTCGCCTTTCATCCGTCCCTTTTGTAGCCCAACATTCAGAACCATACAGTACGACAGGTCTTACGATCGTTTTATAGATTTTCCCCTTAAGTTTAAGGGGCATTCGTGGATCGCATATCGTTCCTGAGACCTCTCGCCATTTCATCCATCCCGCATTTATTCTATTCCTCACGTCACGGTCAATATCGCCATCGTTTTGTATTAATGACCCAAGGTACCTGAAGTCGGAGCAGATTGGTAAGGTTACACCATTTAAGGCAATGTTTTGGAAACCGGAGGTTCCACCAAAATCGCAGAACAGATGTTCGGTTTTGGTTCTGCTGATTTTGAGACCGAACTCCTCCAGTTTCTTTTGCCATTTTCCCAACCTGATCTGGACCTCGAGTGCATCTTCTCCGACCAGTACGATATCATCAGCAAAAAGCATGCACCAAGGTGCCTCCTCCTGTATGTCTGATGTCAGAGCATCCATTACCAGAAGGAACAAGTAAGGGCTTAAAGCCGACCCTTGGTGCACCCCGACGCCTACATCAAACTGGTCGGTCAATCCGGCTTCCGACCGGACGCGAGTGTTTGCTCTTTCATACATCGCTTTCACCAATCTTATATACTTACCTGGTATACCTTTCACGGTCAGAGCCCACCATAACACACTCCGAGGGACCCTGTCGTATGCCTTTTCAAGGTCAACGAACACCATGTGTAAGTTTCTATGTGCACGTCTGTATTTTTCGCATAGCTGGCGAAGTGCAAATATGGCGTCCGTCGTACCTCGTCCAGGCATAAAACCGAACTGGTTTTGGGTCACCTCGCTCTCATCTCTCATTCTTCTTTCTATTACTTTCTCCCAAATCTTCATCGTGTGCGCTATGAGCTTAATTCCTCGATAGTTGTTACAGTCTTGTATATCACCCTTTCTTTTGTAGATGGGCACCAGCAAGCTGTTGCACCACTCGTCAGGGATCACCTCTTCTTGTAACAACTTACTGGTATAGCATCTGGGCCTGGTGCCTTTCCAATCTTCATAGTTCGTACTACCGCTTTCACTTCCTCCACACTCACCTCCTTAACCATTCCTTTATTTACTTGCACATTTTCTAGCACTCCACTCCAATCATTCTCCTCATTCAGAAGTTTACCAAAATATCCCTTCCAACGCTCTCTAATATACTTATCCTCAGTTAAAACTTTTCCTCCTTCATCTTTCACACACTTCACATGCCCAATATCCCTTGCATTCTTCTCTTTTTCTCTGGCTATCCTGTACAATGCTTTCTGACCCTGTGGTTTTTCTAGGAATGAGTACAGTTTATCCTGCACTTTTGCCCTTGTAACAGCAATAGCCTTCCTCGCGTTCTTCTTTGTTTTCTTGTATACATTCTTTTTCATTTCTTTCATACCCTCATCATCGCTTTCAGTGTCCTTCCATTCCTTAAACGCATTCTTCTTATCTTTAACACTCTTTTGTACTTCCTCGCTCCACCACCAAGTTACTCTGACTATTTTCCCTTTCCCTTTCGTTTCCCCAAACACTCTTCTACCTTCACTTCTGATACATTCTGACATTACATTCCAGCATTCGTTAACTGTCTTTCCTTCCATATCACTCATTTCAATCATCTTATCTATCACTCCCTTTCGAAATTCTTCTGTACGCTCTCTGTCCTCTAATAAACTCCATTTAATCTTGGGTGGTAGCTTAGTTCGGGTTTTGGTGGACTTGACTAAAAGTTTAATCTCTAAGATCAGAAGTTTATGTTGGGAGACAAGGGGTTTGCCAGGTATAACCTTACCATTTTTGACATACTTCAAATTTCTCCTTCTTAATAACCAGTAATCAATTTGGGTATTGTGGTTTCCACTATTGTACGTTATCAGGTGTTGGTCTTTCTTTTGGATAAAGGTGTTTGCTATTGCAAGGTCGTATTCAATAGCAGTTTGAAGCAAAGTGTCTCCCTCTACGTTTCTGGTACAATAGCCTCACCCTCCATGCACTCTTTCGTACCCAACGTTCATTCTACCTACGTGGCCGTTAAAATCTCCTCCGATATAAACGTCCTCGTTGTCCGGTATACTAATCATTACTGCATCCAAATCCTCCCAAAACTTCTCTTTCATACTTTGATCACAGCCTGTTTGTGGTGCATATGCACTAATAACAGTCAGAACTGCATCACCTAACAAAAGTTTCACTACAATCAATCTATCATTTATCCTCTTTACATCCGTCACGCTTTCTTTCAACTCTCTGTCAAGTACAATACCCACTCCATTCTTCCTTCCGTCACTTCCACAATAATAAAATTTGTAACCCGCCCCAATTTCCCTTGCTTTCGTCCCCTTCCACTTCGTTTCTTGCAAAAAAGCAATATTCACTCGTCTCCTTTGCAAAACATCCGCTAACTCTCTTCCTCTTTCAGTCTTCGTACCTACATTTCAGCTTCCCATTCTCACTTTCATTCCCCGGACTCAAGTCTTACGTTGCATCCGTCCATGATGCAACGACCCTCGCCCATTTTTCACATCCGCCGGGTGCTGCGTCTGCGCGTCGCCTCGGGGGTACGCCCTAGCATTTACTCGCATTCCATCATCCGACATACTCATGTTGTTGTAAGATTTGGCTGAAATTTACGACCGGCCGCCTACCTGACGTCTACCCTCCTTGGGAATGCATCCGTAGGTGATTTTCCCGTCACCTTACGGGCGGAATAGGATTTGGGTGGAAGAATATGGTTGGAAAAAGTAGGAGGGAAATCTAGGATAGGGAAAACAGGTGGGATACTGCCACCACGGACGGAAGTAGGAAAGTGGCATGCAGTAGCTCTGTTTCAATAACCATAAGGTGTTAAATACAACACGTTACATATCCCATAGCGTGATACTTGAATCATTCTGATTGGCGGATATTTGCCGCGCTTCTAAAATGTATCTTACAATAGAAATTGACCACTGACCTTTTCCAGTTGTTGTTGTTGTTGTTTATCATTGGTGGCCTTGATATTGTCCCTGTTGATCAACACTTTGTTGTGCGACATCGGATGACTGTTCTGTCTGTCCTGTTGAGTCTTTTGTTGTTGCGTGGGCGGCATGTTCTCTTGCTTATTCTATTTTCAAAACAAAAGAAAATATAAAATATATTTTAACTGGATGGATTGCCTGAAAATTGATGAGCGAAAAAGTAACAAGTGTTTGAAAAATTCGTCAGTCCTTTTCAGGTCCTGGGTTTAGAGCAGTCGGCCGGATTGCGAAAGGTTTTGAGTTCGAATCCCATCTCAGAGTACCAGGGACAAAATGGATTTTTTAAACATTTTTCATAAAAATACATTTTAATACTCCAAAAAACATCGGCTTTTAAAAGCCTTCATGACGGAGCATCGTGTGATGTCACGTTTCAGTAAACGAAACCAGTATTTATGTTCATTGAAATGTGACGTCACGGCTCGAAACATCACGTGACAGATTGTTTGCACGGGACAATTAAAATTAATGAATAGAAATATGTATATATAATAACACTTTTTGAAGAAAAGTTAATCTGTTATGGTTTATATGATCATGTCAAAGTTGTAAAATACTTATCCCGAAACAGTCAAGTGGCCAATTAATAAATTAAACTCACCTCCGGGTTGTGCCAGAACACTTTGATGAACCTATTATTGAGTACGGCTTCAGTACTCTTGTATGCAACATTCGCTTCTGTGGGATTGGAGAATGTTATCAACGCAGCCTCCGGATCACCCTCGAAAGATACCTGGTAGACAAACCAAATGTATTTACTATGTGAGCCAGATAGTCTTATTTTCCGAATCAGAATCTAAATTTTTTTTTAATAGTTGGAAAGAAGAGTTGTGTTAATGACTAGTAAAATAAAGCAATTTTTGAATTTATCCATAATTTTACTATTTTATTTCAATAGTAAAATTATGGATAAACTCATTTTGCAATAAAATAATTTTAATTTTATAGAATCAACTTTTACACCTTATGAATGCTCATAGAAAGAATGAAATGGATAAGACATTTTTCTATAAAATATTTTAAGATTCAACTGAATATCGTTTACGCCGGTAAAAATATAATTGATACTCAATTCAAAATTCAAAGCAAGGCAACAAACATATTTCATTTTATTTATGCTTTAACATCAGATAATTATTTTGTAGATTTTACTTAATATTTGAACTGGAAAAAAACATAACTACCAATCCATTTCGGCTGAAAGTCCATATTTTTGCATTGGTTTCAGATCAACGACCCCGAAACAATCTACTCTGATCACGGCATACTACTTTCAGTTTTAATTAAGTTCATGACCCTAATCTAAGGTAATCATTGTAACACCCTCGGTAGCGTCTCACCTGTATATTGACGATTTTTCCAAATTTACAGAAGTGATTATTGAGGTGTGTTATATCGTTCAGTCCTCTTGGTACTTTCTTGACTTCTAGTGAGCAGTTGCCAGCGTTAGCTGGAAGAGGGGGACGCGGAGCACCTGCATACAGAACATTATAACAAAAATAATTAAAAATTAATAATAATAATCACTCTAGCAAGCTAAGCTAGCTTTAACATGGTAGCTTCTCTTCATAAAATTTAATTAAATCAAGG